TATGGGGTATGAGAAAACCCAAACGGAAAGATCTAACAATTTTCTTCCCTTTTAGATTTCAAAATGTGAACTTACAAAACACACATAAAACAAGATGAAAGTGAAATAAGATAAAGTTCTCTGGTTTGCGAACAAAGTCCAGCAATCTCACAAATAAAGTCCTCCTAAATCGCAAGTAAAGTCCTGCAATCTGGCAGGTAGCATTAAAACTTGTGGGTGGGTGGTGGGTGGTAATCAACTTTGATTCAGGGCTCGGTTTAGGTTGGCTTTTAAGGACTGAGTTTGGCGCTTCCTTCTGCTCGGTCTCTGGAACTACAGGCATCACGTGTTTCCCTATCTCAGGAACAAAACAATCATTTGTTTCCTTTCTAGGTGGGGCAAGGTAGCTATCCTGCAGTTTCTTCACAAGGCGCCTCCAGGTCTGGTTATTTACCTTGTAAAGAGATGGACTCGTTCGCTCAGTGATTGTGCCACAAACCCTTTGTCCCGCTGTGGTAGAGCAGACCCACACATCCTTGTCGTTGACATAAAACTTCAAGGTGCTTTTAGACGGAGGCACTTCTTGTTGACCCTCCTGAACAGTTGTGTGACATCCTGAGGTTTTGGCAAGGGTAGGGTAGGGTAGGGTAGGGAGGGTAGGATAGGGTAAGGTAGGGAAGGGTAGGGTAGGGTAGTTTTTAACTCTTTAAGCATGCTAGAGTGACGCTTGCATTTGGTAACCCCTGTATCAAAAAGAGTATCATTAAAATAAAAACCCAGTTTTTCACCCTTTATGACATCATCTTCCTCATGCCTTAAGATACTTAGGATAACTGCTCCCAACCCCTTGAAGGAGATTGCATTTTATATTCGTTTCATTTTTAATAGTATCCAGAGGCTAAATTACTCTTTGAGAAACCTAATTGACCGACTGAAATGATATTTTTCTGTTTTTATCAAAAAAGTATAGTGAAATACCGGTTTCCCATCTATCATGATATTTTTACTACTGTTTCATTTGAAATCTGCCCCGAACTGAATCAGTTCTGCATTTCTAACATTTGAAATATTGAAGTATTCTGGGTCGTAATCACAATAGAAGAGAAAAGATCCTCCATAAGCTGTAGCAAATTATTGAGGTAACACTTCCAGCCAGCATTCTAACTATTGTACAACCTTTTTATCCGTGATAAGAGAAGAGATCTTACAAGCAATGAGATCAAAATCTAAGACTCTCAATCTCACAATCTCACAATGTTCTCACAATCCTGTCCTGACTTGTCCATAGAAAGTTAGAAACAATTCTATTAATTTATTTGCTAATTTCTTCCGAAAAACAAACATACTTGCTACGTAGATTAGCTTGGGCTAAAGAAGAGAGTTAATTACCTGAGCCCTACCATATAGAGTTTAACCTCTTCTCGTTTCCACCAATTTGCTGTGTTTTCTAATTTACTTGAGAAGTTGTTCATCTTAATAAATCATCATAATCATAAGTTAAATAAACCCCTGGACGTGTAGGCCGAATAGGCCAATTGGGACCAAAGAGATCACCCTTCTGACCGCGATCTCCTCCTAAACCCATACATTCAGATTTAGAGGTTGATCTAAGCCTGAAATTTTTTCAAAGGATTTTAGTATCTCCAATAACATCTTCAGCGAGACTTCGTCTCTTAAAACCCTAGTTGTATTGTCTGTGTATTGTAGTAGCTTTATTACACTGTCCCCAATACTAATTCCACGAAATTTATCATTAGCCCTAACTGCTAATTGCAATAATTCTACCACCGCAATAAAAATATATAAGGCGGAAAGGGTCCCCTTGTCAGACTCCTCTCTCTATTTATATAAAATAATCTAAATACAAACCGTTTTTACTAAATACAGCTCGATACATTAGAGTATAGAAATAAGACCCATCTCCTAAAAACAAGGCCAAAACCAAAATCTTCAAAACGTCTGAATATACAGTTCCATTCAATACTGTCAAACACTTTCTCAAAGTCAAGAAATGCCAGAATACCACTTCTATCCTTAGTCTTTGCAAATTTAATTACATACTTAACATACTTTATTTGAGTAGGTTAGAATAGGGCAGCCAAAGGCTGATGTGGACCTACATACATATGATTAAGAATATTATAAGAAGTAAAACTATTTACAGATGTAAATAAAAAGTTCGCAGTTCATTCATTTGTAAGGTAAGCTCAAAACAATGTTAAAAGTAATTAAAGTCCTTGGATTTCACCGTAACAGTGGCAACTTCTTTGTTGAAAGAGAAAGCCTCCAGGTCAGCTTTTAATTTTCTTATAAAAGCTTTGAAGCTATTTAAACTACTCGAAACGTCAATCATTTTGTTCATATAGATCCATATGAGGGGTTTTCTGTACCTTAAGGAATCTCTTCCGACCTCAGGCTTAGGTTTGGGTGTAAACATCTATATAGCTCGTAGAGATTTACCAGTGACTTTCTTCGAAAACAGTTCATCGGGCCAAAAAGACAGGGAATCAAAATAAACCTTGTGCATGAATACAAGGACAGACTTTTCGTAAAAACAAGAAACAGAGGGCCAGTGAGAATTCAAAAGACAATCAGCATCAGAAATAAACGAATCGAGGTCGAAAATAACTTTCGCTGCTCTCGAATGTGTCAATTCCAGAGAAGAAAAAAGGGGCTGTAGAGCAGTTTCCCAAATTAAAATACAGAAGTTAGACTCGGAATTATTGTCTTGAAAGAAGTCTTTAGAGGTAGATACTTTATTCGTTTCATTGCTCTAACCTTTTGCCTTTAAACAGATTTTCTGACTTGAGAAACGTTTCAAACCATGAAAGTCTACAATCAAGCTTCACACCCAGGCAAGTCGATGACTTGCTTGGGTTGATGACTTGCCTCACCTTGCATGACTCAGTCATGCAACATTCCATTTGTTTCGTCAATATACTTTCCTTCCACATAACCACTTTCATGACTATGAATGCCATAAGGGGTAGAATTTATTCAATTATTCAAATAAGAACGATCTTTATCTCTCTTATCGATTAATGTAATGACTGCCTGCCTCTGCGAGATGGACAAAATTCTGATTCGAAAGCAGCATGAAAAGAGTTTATCAAACTTTCGCAGAGATGCCAAAATTTTTTGTAGAACTCAGACAGTAGACCAAAATTTTTTGTAGAACTTAAATAGTACACCATTATTACCAGGGCCTTCATTATCTCTAAAAGTCCTTGAAACTTCCTTGGCCTAATGTCAGTATTCATGGTCTTCATTCTGTTTTCCGTACATTTACCAATGTGCTGACAAGGAGAATTTGCCTAAAAATCAAGAGTTTCCTTAGTTGGTGATCATTTCCTTTATTCTCATGACATTAATGTGTGATTCGTTGGTGAGGAGAAATTAGATGCTAGCCACTCTCATGAGTTAAAGGATTAATTGTCACCTCACCCTCCATAAGTTCTTCAAATCATCTGTAAGTTTCGGAATATTTGGGTTGTCAAAAAACAAACTACTTTCGGGGCCGTAAAGGTCTTTTGTCGTTGAACAGTCGATGACTTGCAAGTCATCGATTCTTTGTAAAAATTTATTTGACCTTCTAATATTTTATAGGGATCCTTTGTGATAGTTCCACTCTGATTTAATTTTCGTATTTTCTAAATTTCCTCCATGCTAGTCCTAACAATTATTCCATCAATTCTTTTTTCTTTGTAAGACTCTGGGTTTGCTCGAACTTTTTGTATCAGATTTAAAGTCTCCGTAGTCGGATGAATCTCATGAAGCGATTTAAACTTTTCCAATTCCTGCTTCAAATTTAGTTTCTCTTCCGCTCTTTTCTTTTGTACCTTTTTCAGCAAAGCTTACAGAAAACTCGCTTATTTTATAATTTAGCTAATCCCATGGCATTTGTGAATTATCAGAATTAGATTTAGGCTCGCTAGACCATATTGGAATATTTCGCTTCATTACTTCAATATAATCCTTGTTCAGTAACAACAAAACATTCAGCTTCCAAACACCTGAGCCCTTGACTTAATTTTCTGAAAGTTTGAATTTCAGTTGTGATTGCAAAATGGTCTGTTTTAACTCCCCCGATTATATTAATGTTGTTTTTACGGTATCAAAAAGATAAGACGACGTAAACCAATAATGAAGCCTACCGGCAGAACAACAACAGCGATTTTTACTCTCCACCTGATGTTCCAACTGTCGTGTAAAGTAAAATCTTCTCGTAAGCTATCGATAGGAATTATTTTTTATTATTATAACTTGTCTGAATTACAGGTGTGTGTGGAATCAAAGTACCACCTTTCTTATCCAAAAGAGGATTCAGTGGACAACTGAAATCTCCGCCTGTAACAATCCTCACGGGAAACTCCAAATTCCAATAGTAACTACTGCAACATTGTGGAAAAATTGCGTGGTCAACTATCCTTGTTTGGCACACAAAGAGTTAATACGGAATATTCGACGTCCTAGAAATTTCTAGAATTCCTTAATCGCTTTAATTCCCAATTCACGTTCCCATTGTCTTTCCACTTCTTTTGCACTATGAGTTTCTTAAAGAAAAATGATGTCAGATTTCATTCCTCTAGATCACGTAAAAAGTGGTACCCTATATTTCTTGAAGTTGCTCAAGCCCCTGACGTTCAACGACGTTATTTGTAGCATTAAGAACTAGTTAAACTCTTGTAATAAAATCTGTTTAATACAAAGCGATGGTGAAGCCAAATGAACACATGATAATGATACTTGTACATAGTCACTATTTACCCAGTGAAAAAAAGTAAACAAACTAATCTGACAACCGTCGACCCGCGGAACGACAGCTGCCCATGGTCACGTTCCCTCTTGAGCACATCGAGTTTTCCTGAGTTACAGTCCAACCTGTATTTAACGGCACTGTATTGAAAGGTCTTAATTTAGCAGTCAGTTGTCAAAGTCAGGAAGTTGTTTCCCATTAATCACTGTAATTTTCAACTCTATTAAGCAGTCACCTCTATCAAGCAGTCGCGGTCACCCTCTACTTAGTCCCAACGGCCTGTTTTTATTGTCCTCCACCTGTACTGAATGGTAACTGAAAGTGGAACCTCTCAAATAAAACAAATAATAATCTTTCAAGTAATTCTTAATCCATATTTCACAACCAAAATCAAGTAAGTAGAATTTTCGGGCAAGATTCTGTACATCGAGTAGTCAATTATTGCATAAAGTGGCGTTGTTTTTTATAATAACCCTAGTGTGTGAAACCTGTATTTAGCAGTCAACCTGCCCCTTAGTGGTCAATCTACCATTTCCCGTGACTGACCGTGTTATTGATAACAACTGCCAGATTAATATCTAGAAATTTCTAGAATTCTTGCTCATGCTGACGTGCATGCCATACCTCACGTATTTAGGATGTAATAGTATCAAACTATGGTGTTGTAAGTTTTTAGACTGTTCTGTTAAAGAAAAGTTGTTGTGTAACTGAGCCCATCAATCTTTAGAAGTATGTCTCAGATTTTTGCACTAAGCTCTTTAAAGCTTGTGAGTTAGCTAAAGTCTACTCTCAGAAGTCTATGAAAAAGAAGTATGACGAAGTTGCTGAAGAATGTGACTTTATGCTAGGTCAAAAGGTTCTTGTGTTGTTGCCAGTGCCTGGTAACACACTTCATTCTCGATGCTTTGGTCCCTATGTCTGTGAAGAAGTTACATGATCCAAATTACATAATAGTCACTCCAGATAGGCGAAAACAGACACAGTTATGTCATGGAAATATGTTGAGGCCTTATGCAGAGAAAAGTAGTAATCTAGTTGAAGAGCCTGTAAATGTTAATGTAGTTGTTTCTGAGCCCAAAGAATTAGGTAGTGAGCTTAGTAGCAGTCATCTTAGTCCCACTAACACGAAAATACTAACAAACTTCAATGTGCTGCGGAAGTTGGACTTCCTACTAACAAGAATAATCGCTTTGATTTTGTTTCTTTTTGTACCATCAGAAAACTGCTTTGCTTATGACCTTGTGTGTTAACACAAAACAACTTGACAGTTAATGTCTCCACCAAAGCCCATAAAAAATTTGAACGAGATGACATTTAAATCTTAAGGTAAACATTTGTAGGTACTGACTGTGAATTTAAGAAAATCATATACGTAATGAAAGTGTTCCTCGCAGTAATGAACACTAGTTAAGCAGTAGTGAAAATAAGGCCTGAAAAAAAAAGAAAAGAGAATAAAACTGCTTAAGTAGTGTTCATCACTGCGAAGATCACTGCACAGGCTTTCATTTGTGGGTACTGTTTTAATAACAGACCAGAATATTAAGGTAGCGCCGAAAAATTAAAGTTGTGGCGGCAAATTAAAGTCCTGCCGAAAAATTAAAAACAGAAATTTTTTTAAAAAGTCGTGCCAAAGTTAACTTATGTCTAACAAAAAGTGAGGTGGCATTGACTATTGAGAGTGAAATAATATGATTCTGACGCCTGTAACGTAAAAAAAGAAAAACTCACTGACAGCCATGTAGTTCACTGTGACATTGAAATCTATCTTGTATTGCTAACGCAACTTTAAAGGTCAAGTATGCTCTGTCAACCAAAAATTTATCACTCGCAGGTCTTTGAGATTCCGTTCAAAAAGTCTTCAAATGAGCTCAAAACTATGACCACGAAAGCCGCCATTTTGAAAACAAATCGGCTAACTAACCGGACCTGCAAAATCCGAACGGGCTATTCACAAAGACCCACCCTTCTGCTTACCTTATAGAATCATTACGTGTGTCAAGAATGCCTTTTCCGTAGTGTTTTATTTTTCAAAAGATTAAAGAAAGTGTTCAGAGATCATCAAACAGTTCAACTTGACTCTCCAATATTCACCGCTGAGCAGTCATCATCACTTCGGGGAATTCTACTTTTCCTAATGTACAGGTTTACATCATGCGAATATTTACACTCGTCACCATACGTACACTTGCCAAGTCGAAATTTCTTACAAGGAAATTGTTTGTAATAATCTTTGTCTTCTTCTGGAGTCCTTCGTCCTTGTAGACGCTGCCTCTTATCCTCTATTGTCTCTGTTTCTTTTTTCCTCTTTGCCCTACGTTTTAACATAACGAACTCATATTAATATAAAGTATCACAAAACCCAAGTCTTTTCCAATTTGACTTACACATCTATAGGATTAACAAGTTCTTCATCTTTTCATAAAAGTACAGATGTCTATGTGGTGGCTGAGCAGATTAACATTGACTTGGGACAAAATTATGAACGCAAAAGTGTAGGTAGCGTTAGGTAGAACCAGGCTTTCGGCAATGACAATGATCGAAAAATGGCGTGGCTCTGGCAGAGAAAAAAATTGGGAGAATCCATAAGCATTGTTTTCGATATCTCACACAGCCATACCTCTTCTTGTCAAACCCCGTGATTTGCTTTTTCAGTGTTAGCATAAACGCATTTCATTCACGTCAATAACTTGGCATTGACGTGAAGAAATTTCAACCATGGCAAGAAAGCAACGCACATCGCTCTGCACATTAATGCTTATCCTGCAAATCAGGTTTCCCTTTTAAAACGTGGGTGAAATGAGATACTTTTAACGATTTTGCTCGCCCACTTATCGAATGGCATCGAATCTGACCAAAGAGAAAGGGTACCTGTGGCAGTTTCAAAGAATGGAAGGATTTGGAGGAGAACCAAGGAAAATTTAGGGTAACTTATTAAAAGCTAACCACATCCAAACCCAGAGAATTTTAAAGTGTATCATTATCAGAAATTAAGCTCAATACCCATGCAGATGTGCAACAGCTTTCACGCAAGACAAAGGATGCCTGACGAAATCACCACTAATGCTTAACTGTGTCACATACCTAGGCTTTGGTCCCCAGTTGGCCTCAGGATTCGCTTGATATCTCAGAAGCTTATTCTTTCTTGACAGAGGGTTTGCTTCAGGTTTTTCTTTGAACGACACCTGAATGGCAGGTTCTTTGCTGAGAATGGCTGCACCTGGAGAATTTTCTTTCCTTCGTTTTACAGGGTGAAGTTTTTCCCAACACCTCATGACATCCCACACAACTAATAGTAGAAAAAATAGTGTATTGCATAAAATGTCGTTGTATTATAGAATTGTCAATTTTTTAAGCATTGGTTTTGGACTTAAGACAAACAACAAAGATCACGCCTCCGAACTCCTAGTTTCGGGGTCAGATCCACCAGCAGCAACTTTATGTCAGAACAAAAAATTGCGATATTGTATATTGTAAATTGTGACGTTAGAAAGTTACATGTAACAATAGCATCAAAACTTGGATCAAGCTAAATGGAATTAATTATCTTTGAAATTAAAAATGAAAATCGAGGAAAATGGTTCAATTTTGTACTATTTTAACCACTGGCAGCCAGGAGGACATCAGCTCATGTCCTCTTGTTTGGGTTGAATAAAGCAACATTCGTAATGAGGTTAGAACAAGTGACAATAAAATACACCCAACTAATAAAGGGAGCTCACAAAAATGCTGTGAACAGTTGTACATTTGAGTTTAGAATAAATCTATGGGAATACTGATGCCCTTTGTACTGTTCATTATCGCCCAATCAAAGATGAGTGGAACAACGTAAGTCTCAGCAGGCACACGAAAGTTCAAATACGCATTTATTGAGCCTCAATTTCTTGATTTCTCAATTTCTCGATTTTATTTGAACTCAAGTTCTAAACTTTTTTAACGAGTTTCAAATGTGATGATACATAAAGAGAGCTTAGGCTTTTAAATTTCCTCATGCATTGTTTAGAACTCATACGATTGCAGTTGTAGGTGAAAATTGCCTTGGCGTAGGACCGCTTTGTAATAGACAGAAAACTGAGCTTTACACCCTTGATGGTCCAATCCCGAGGCCTACAAATCGCTCAAATTCGCCGTCTTCAGCAACAGAAACGAAAATTACAATATACTGGGTGGAAGAATGTTTACTGTGATGTTAAATAAAAATATTCGTCGCAATCAATTACAATAATGTGGAGCTTTACGATATTTCCCTTTTCACTGAGTTAAATTGAACAAATAGCTTCATCGTTTAGGTGTGCTTCTCTTGTACATACCACTGTGAGGAGCATCAGTTTTGAGTGCTTGTTTGCACGCATGAGAGCTGGAAGCCTTGTAGCCTGCTTCTAGCAGAGCAGATCTGATCTGCACAAGAGAAGGTGTGTTACAATGAAGAACTCCACAGAGATGATCCACACTGTAGTATAGAGGACAGTCAGGTAGTTCTTCTTGGATAACATTCAACAGTCCTGAACAGGAAAATAAATTAAATTTTTACACGTAACTTTCATCGCAGTAAATGGTTTGAACCCAGAGGTAAAAGTTGAACCTCTCGTCTGACCTTCGGTGAAAGTTATTATTAGAATTTACAATTTCTGATGATAACTTCCGCTCAGGTCGTTAAAGAAGAAGTAAAGTTATGAAACCGTGTAACTTTTCTCTGTAACATCAAAAAAGATTTAATAAAACTTAGTTCTGACTGTGATATCAAATTCCAATGAGTAACTTAAGCGTTCAATAACTACTTTCAGATTTGCTATAATACTTACTACTTACTATAATACTAATACTTTCAGATTTGCCTGCAGCACCGTCATTTTAAAGACAGTTCCGTAACGCGGCCACACACACCCAAATAGCGAGAATCATTACGCGTGGTTCAGCTGCTGTTTTTGTGTAACGCAAGAAATCAATGGCTGAGTCAAGAGTTTCGTATTGGTACCTCCGTGGTAACTCAGTCAATTGTTCAAACAACTCCCACCGGATGAAAACTGAGGAATCATAGTATAACCTTAAGGGTGAACAGCTGTCTTGCCCCACAGACATATTGATATTCGACACCAAACTTCCTCCACTCGATTCAAAGTATTGTACGAGTAACAAATTTCCTATCGTAGGAGAATGGGCCAAATTATGATGATGAAATGGAAGCATAACATAGCGGAATAAGGATAAAATAATCTTTACAGGATACAAACCTGAGGAGGAGAGAGTTTTTTGTTTATTCGGTTTCTTTTTATCATGAGATTCAGAGGATAGTGAAGAGCTTAGTTCCACACCTAACTACACCAAATCCACCAAATGACACTAATGCTGGAAAGACTTTCTAAAATACTGAAAGACTTCTGGATTAAAAAAGAAGCTGAAAAATTTGCGAGTAGCAAGATGGAAAGGTTGTCGTTATTTATCGCAAACTGGTAGAAGACTACCAACATGCAGTCAAAACGTCGCGATCCACATTGGAAGTGACTACATCATGAGACGAACTATATTACTATGCTTTGAAAAGATCCCAAGTCTGCTCAGTAATCAATCACAAAAGATGTCGAAATGTGATAAGATCACTACCCACTGAGGGAGAATGAACAAAGTCAAGAAGCACGAAAAGCAGAAATCACTAACTAACCTTTATCAATGTGAAGGAACGGAAATTTCTTTGTTACTTACCAATTATCCTTTCTGAAGTCTTGAACAGACCAGGTTGTTCCTTCACAGTCTTGAGCAATCTTTCTACAAACTCAGCATCGTGAATTTTCTCTTTCCATATGGGTCCTCCCATGTGGAATTGCCTACCGCACTGGTCACACGAGGATCCAACTGGAGGACCAATGGCTGGGGGGTACTTCTTGCTAAGACCTTCTTCAATACAGCGGCCCACTAGCAAAGACGACAAAATTTGTGTTCAATAACAAAACTCATATAGAAGTCCACCAAAATTTTTAACTGAGTTAAGAAACTAATATTTCACAAGTTGATCACACCCAGAAAATTAAGCATACATTTATATAACTGAGAATTTCAAGTCCCCTTCAGGAGCAGATGGTAATTTTAGTCGTTTAATACATTGTTAACAGATGTGCTGGGTAAGGATTGAAATGGGAAAAAAATTAGCACTAGGTGATTAGTGAAAAGTTCACCTTACCAGTCTGAATAGAAAATAGCTTAGGGCCATGGAATTCTGCATAGGAACCAGAGAAGATTACCCATGGTTCTCCCTCAATACTGAAAGTCCTGTAAATCTTATAACAAAAATCGCAAAAGCCACTCTGTGTTGAGAGAATTTCCCGTCCTAGGCTATGACAAATCACACCCCCTAACTGGCCGACTCTAAAACTCATAGAAATGATTAACTAAAATACAATTCTACGCATTCTAGAAAGTGCCATTGGTGCAAACACATACTTTGAGCCGTTCACAAACAATAACTTCTCAGAGACAGTACTGGAAAATTCTATTACATCAGTAAGCCGGAAAAGTTGGACCAACATCTCCTTGGAATGTTTCAGTCTCCAAATGTAGGACACCAAAAGTAACAAATCATGTCACTGCACCAACAATTTTGAAATAAATTAAATAGATTAAAATGATTCTTATCATTTTGCATATAAAAAAATATGGAAGTAGAAGGGTTTTCTCCCTTTACATTTTTAACTCCCTAAATGATTATGAACATTCTAAATCTTGCATAAATGTAACATAGAACAAGGAGTTATTATATGTACATGTATTTGTCATTTTCATCATACCAAGAAATCTAGAGGGCCATCATTTTCATTGTTGTTGTAATTGTCATTATCTGAAACCCTATTACCAATGTACTTGCCATAAGATTGATTATACAAGTATTTACTTAGAACTTCATGAGTTGAACTTTATGATACATTTTTGACCACTTCAATTAGTATTACCACAAGTCTTAGCTTTTCTGCAAATAACTTGAAATAAACAGATAAGGAAATTAACACACCCAACATTGGAAGTCCCCTTTCCTTGTCTGTATTTGTGCTTGTCAACAGGAAAATAGGTTAAAAGGGTGGTCAGGCACAGGAATGTGTGCCATGAGTCAGCCCGCTAAACTTATCTTAAATTTTCAGATAAGCACATATTACCTAGATAAGAAAAACAAAGAGTGTCACTGAAACCTTTTTTTTAGTTTTGTTTCAATCAGTGGGCCAAACTGCATGTGCAGCATGTGAGATAGAATGCAGGGTTTGAGCTAGGATTTGACTATTTAGGGTCAATTTGTCCCTTTAGGTTATTTTTGGAGGGACATTTTCCATTTCTGAGGGTCACTTAAGCATAGGGAAAATTTCAAACTGAACTAAAATTTTAAACATTTAATGAAATAGCAACAAGTTACATTGTAAGGTGGCATGCTTCTTTTTATCTTTCTCTGTAAACTCTTAACTGTATGATTCTCTTACAACCAGCAGCTGATCATGGCCACTTAAATAATTAAGAAAGTGACTATTTGTAAAAGAACAAGACCAACAACTCTGTTGTGCCATTATCATTTTAACAATATCATATTTGTTCTTGCTTCCATATTTCATTGCAGATCCTTCTTAGTTACTTAACATCTTACATGTACATTTATAATAACAGTATTTCACGATTTCAAAATTCTCCTGTTCTTTATAGCCCACTCTTCAAGGGCTAATGAAAAATCAAAGTCCACAGAAGGTGGCCCCTCGATGTCTATGGTCATAAGTACATCTAACCTATTGGCTTTTAGTCTGTTTCTCAATGCATTTTTAATCCTGTTTTGGGCACTGAAGCCTCTCTCACAACAATTTCGGGGGAAAAAGCCGCAATTTCTAACATTTTGTCAAAGTATCCAGAATTGGATGAAACAACACTAAAGTGGTTTTGGGAGAAGAAGAGTCAGGATAAGTCTAAAAGTCTTTTATTTTGAATCACAATTTTGTAGTTTAAAAAAACAACGCTTTACTCAGCCGAGTTCTGTCAGATCGTGTTGCAATGTTTACACAAGCCGTGGGAATGACTGCTTCTGATTGGTCAGTTTCCGATGTTGTCAAAATGAGACAAGATGAAACTTTGATTGGATATCCATTAGTCCCTTGACAGTTTCAAAAAACAATAATGATGAACACAGCATGTCATTTGATGCAATGAACACTGAACCTCAAATAAAAACAACTAACAATACTTAATTTTATGAAACAAAATTTTAAGATTCTACTGAAAAATTAGCAACACACAAAAACACAACACACAAAAAAGTAGAAACCATGGCAATCAGTTCTACCCTAAATTGAATGTCTCATGTAACTAGGGCATGCAATACAGTAAGAAACAATACTACTGGCAGTTACACTTCATATCAATGAGCACTTTGAATCAGTCATCACAACATTCTTTTTTGACTGCTTGGCACAAAAAAGCAAAAAAGAAAATGAAATATGCAACTTAATTGTAATGGAAACAAATTATACCTGGGTGCACAAATAATTAACTTGCATGCAAAAGAAAAATGACTGTAAATATATGAAAATCATTACGTGGACTGCAGATAAATAAATTAATATGGAAGCAATCTTCTCAGTAACAAAACACTACTTAAGCAGTAGTGAAAATAAGGCCTAGAAAAAAATTCAGGCCTGTACAGGATTTGAACCCATGACCTTTGTAATACCAGTGCAGTACCCTATCAACTGAGCTAACAAGCCAACTGAGAGGTGGTCATTACGTTGGTTCCAAATAATCCTATGAAGTGATGAATAAATGACTGTAAATACATGTATATGGAATTCATATATGCAAACTACAGATAAGGACGTGAATATGGAAGCCTTCACATATATGATTTTCATATATTCACAGTCATTTACTAAAGTGCAGATAAATAAATTGATATGGAAGCAATCTCCCCAATCATGAACACTAATTAAGCAGTAGTGAAAATAAGACCTGAAAAAAGTTCAGGCCCATATGGGATTTGAACCCATGACCTCTGCAATACTGGTGCAGTGCTCTACTAACTGAGTTGACAAGCCAACTAGGAGCTGGTCATTATGGTGGTTCCAAATAAACTGGTGAAGAGATGAATAAATGACTGTAAATATATGAAAATCATATAATTATGTGAACTGCAGATAAAGAAGTGAATAAGGAAGTGATTACTTCCATAGTCATGAATTTTTTTCAGGCCTTATTTCCACTACTGCTTAAGTAGTGTTTGTTACTATGAAAAATAGTTCCATATCCATTCAAAATACAGTTTTCACTACACTCACTTGGCTGAAAATGAAAACTTCCACATCCAATGCACATGAAGACCAGACAGTTTTTACTTGCTGATCTTTTCACTTCTGAGGCACTTGTAAAGACTTGCACAAAAACGTGCACATAGAAATCCACACTTATGCTCAAAAGAGGTTTAATGTATCGTTTGTATCTATTAGCATGAGTTTCCAAAGAGAAGAGCAACACTCTCAAAGCCTGTGAAGAAAAGAAAAAATATTTGTAGAATTGAGTAACATTTTATGAGGAGTCACAAGCAAAATTTAATAGCTCTGTAACCTAAATCATGAATTTAGTACTGGTAATGACTGACATAGGGGCTACATTGGGACAAGATCAGTCTTAATCAAGGGATAGAAAGGTAGCTCAAAAATGTCTACAGTGTTAGCGATAACTAAGGTACTAAATACATGAATATGAAAGCAATCTTTGCAGTAATGAACACTCCTTGAGCAGTAGTGAAAATAAGGCCTGAAAAAAATTCAGGCCTGTATGGGATTTGAACCCATGACCTTTGCAATACCAGTGCAGAGCTCTACCAACTTGGCTTGCAAGCCAACTGGGAGCTGGTCATTGTGTTGGTTCCATACAAACCCATGAAGTGATAAACAAATGACTGTAAATATATGAAAATCATATATGTGAACTGCAGATAAGGACATGAATATGGAAGCATTCACATAATATGATTTTCATACATTCACAGTCATGTACTAAATACCGCTGTCCTTCCATGACTGGAAATCTTAAAAAACTCCATTTTGTTTAAACCTCAAAATGAAAAGGTAAGTTAAAGCCTTCTGTGAGCTACAGTAGTTCATTAGCAACTAGATGGATCAAAACCAAGTAATCATGACTGACATAACATATTTGATAATTTAGTGTTAACAACTAATTTGAAAACTTAAATTAGTAACCAAAAAGCATTTAAAAGCTGATGTTTCGAGTGTTAGCCCTACATCAGAGTGATTGCAGGAATTGTGGGTTGTGTGTGGGTTTACATGCAGAAGATGACTGCATATCAAACATATAACTTACACGCGTAACTCTCAATTGGTGGACAATTGGGGAGAGAGAGAGAGAGTGTGTTGTGTGACATAAGCAAACAACAAGGCAAGTATACACTCATTATTAGCTTTTTGTCTCAAGCATTTCTTAAGTGCCAATGGGAAAGTATAGGGCCTTGAGTAAAACCAGCCTACAAGAGGAATATAGCACCGATAATTTGTGCCAGTCCCTTGGCAAACCTCTCCCTGACCCATCTCAAATCCTTCTGCAAGCAGAGTTATGGGACTCCTGAAGCAATAAAATGAAGGCCTACTCACAGGTTTAGACTATGCTTACTGCCATTCCTTTGCCAAAGACAAAACCAAAACCTAACCACCTAAAACTTCAAATTAAAATTTCCCACCAAACTAAATTGAATCAAGGTCTGTAGCATGCAAGTGCTGGACAGTTTCCCATGAAAAAAGTTGAGTCCAGTCTCCTGAGACTCCATGGGGTGCCTCTGTTTCACTACATGTATTGGCGGTTGACATGTCTAGCAGTCAACATGCTCACTTAACTTAACATGTGAGTCAACCAGAAAAAAAAATGTTTGCAAACTTTAAAAGCAAAAACAACCTACTTAATTTTTTATGTCTTCTTTGAACAAATAAGAGCTAAACTGGATTAGTTCTAATCAGATGACCTTTGACAACAGTGTAGGTTGAACTACACTTGTAGTGTACTTACCATCTCATGACAAAACTTGGCTTTTAAAGACATACTGCCATATTTTCCAAAACAAGCCTCGCTATGGTTTCCACAGAGCACCCCCATGTCTGTGCATGTTACCAGGAGAATGCCACCATCAGCTACAGCTTGAACTGCACTATCAAGAAAGACTGATGCTGATCCATATGGATCTAAATCTATTGCATCAAAGCGACTTGAAGGAGGATGACGATGTTTGTACATCAGTAACCTTCATGAGAAATTGACAAGGTTCTTAATAAAAGTTTATTTCACTACACTGCAGCTGTGAATGAAGATGAAAAATTTTAGAGCCCTATGTTTTCACAGTAACATACCATTCAAATAATTTAAGGCTCCTAGTGGATAACATACTGGACAGAGTACAAGAGCAATGAGATATCTTTGACAAAGAACATTTATTCTATTTATCTTGTAGTACAGTATGGTACTAAAGACTAGTCCCCCGAAAGGTGACTCAATTGTTTCAAGTTGTTCAAGGGTTAGTCTAGCTACACTTGTAGCAAAAACCTAATCCTAAACCTACCCTAGGCCAAAGCAAACTGGAGATGAATAAAGGGGTAAGTTTCTAAAGAAACTGTGGTGGTGCATCAGTGGGAGAGTATAGCAGGTAATTTAGTGTTAACAACTGAGTTGAAAACGTAAATTAGCCACTGTAAATGGTAAAAAACCTGACGTTTCAAACATTAGCCCTTCATCAGAGCAATTGATGAAGGGCTAACACTCGAAATGTCTAGGTTTTTTCTAGGGGGAAAAGTCTAGTACAGGGGAGGGAGAATGAAGTTTTGAGTGGGATGGATTAGCAAGGAATGGAAAGGAACTACATATCTCCTACAAAGAATGTACACTTGACAGAGTACATAAATATGGCATTCATATGTGGAAAGCAGAGTTTTGAAAAGCATTCATAATAAGAACTTACTGCATAATTATAAGTGACCTTTTCCAGAGGAATGTTAAAGAGTTTATCATGGAAGGTGTCTTCAGTTTTGAGTGTGGCCATTAACTTCATTACACAATTTTTCTAGCTGTTTTGTGTTTCATAGGGCTGAGTTGCCCTTTAGTAAAATACAGTGGAGCAAAAGAAAAGCTCATCAACTAAGCAGATGGATGGTTTCACAAATTTTTCAAGAGCACATTCATTTAGTTATTATAACCTTTAGTCCTGTTTATCTGCATTAAATATGCTGTATACACACACTCACCCAGCATCCTCTTTGCTTGGCTTTACAATATGCTGCACATTATTATGCTCAACATTTTGCTGAATCATTTTGTAAGCATCAGCACTGATATCATTGGCAGTTACGCTCTTTACACCTGCCACTTCCAAGGCATATCTCACTGCACGCAGACCAGATGCTGACAAACCTTCCAGGATAGTGATTCCATCATTTCGTTTTTCTTGATGATCACATAAAACAACAGAACTGATGGTGCATATCAAATCAAGTAAAGTCAATCAAACCTATTTCAACAACAGTCTAAACTGATGCAGCCTTGAGCAGCATTTTGAAGCCCTGATTACACTTTTTCATTTGAAAAGTTCATCCCACCCACCCATTTGCTTTGATTTTACTTGACCTAATTGTAAATCTACTGAACCCCACAATTTGAGACAAATGCCTATTTATTATAAGTGAATTATCCCAGTATCAAATCTGACTACAATAATAAAACTTCTGCATGATTCAAAACAAAGTGGGGATTTTTCAGTATTCCTATTAGTTACTTTGCAGTTTTTCAGTCACTTTTTCTTGTTAAGAGTTTGATAAGTGATCATTTTTCATTACAGGAACAAACCAAATTTTTGGTTCTATGTGGTATACACTGAAACAATTATTCACATCAGTGTTAGTGAAAGAGGTGGAAATTTACCAAGCTGCAAAGGAGTGAGGTAAATATGCACCAGTATTCACCTCCACGTCAGTGTGTAATTGTGAAATATATACATAAAAAGATTAACTTATTTATTTATACATAGGCGGGACAATTATAATTGACTGAATAAAGGACTTCCAGTCGAAGGATTAAGTCACGATCAAGTGATTCTGAGAGTATTAGTAGGTAAGTGTACTGAGGTAAACAATGGAAACCAACTTCCGACTGTTCAGAAATTTGATTACAATGTTCTTCTAGAGGAACTTTCTCAGTGAAATTTGAAATTAAAAGTTTCGGCTACTAGCTTTCTTTAGATAGTTTTGAAATTTTTAATTTCTTAAAAGTTGAATTATAAAATGTTTAGATCAAAACTTACGTTCATTGGGTATTTTCCCTGAGTATAATGCCACTTTGGGATTAGACTTCTCCTGGTCAAGTCCTTCACACGTTTCATCCGTTCCCTCGTCTTCTCCATCGGAAGTACTTTCCAAATTTGGTTTTCTCTTGTCTTCCAAACGTTCCTTGGAAAACAGCTTTATGACTGCTGTACTTAAATCTCTGTTAAATTCTTGAACGGGGTTGTAGAACACAGAATTTGAATCAGGAAAACAGATCTCTGCCTTTCCCTCTGTTATCTTAATATCACTACTAACCTTTCCCGAAGACATTTGGATTGTAATCGGTATTTCAGGAAATCGCACAACAACTCAACCGCTGGTCTGTAAGTTATATAATACGTCATGTAAAACCACAAGTTGAGCCCTCGATCAAACGAAAGGTACCAGTCTCGAGCCCAGGGTCAGTTTGCCTCCTTGTCAACGGTATAGTAGTTATGACCTCTGGGAGAATGCAAAAATATCTGCGGTACGCAGTTTAGCAAATATTAAATTACTGCATGGTCTTGTGCGGTTAATTAGGTGTATCATAGTGTCTGTTTGTATCTCGGTATTTAAGCGGTGTTAGGTTTTTTCCGTACGGTCATGTAAGTGTCTGCGAACGCTTATAACGCTTTTATTGTTTCGCCCTTTCCAGCTAATCAAACTAATTATTCTGGTCGTAAGCGGGCCAGAATCAGAAATTCTGCTTGTCTTTTTCTCCGCAGTAAAGTGCACAATAGGCGTTACGTTGCAGTTTTTAATTGGCGCAAAGCAATGTGGTGGTATGGTGTATCAGGCTTGAAGTACTGGACTGCGCATAAACAATAACCAAGCTTATTACAGTTTACACTTATCTTTCGAGTAAACTTTAAAATATTTATTTAAAGCTCAAACCTAATACTGTAGATCACTTCAATTGTTAACGTACTACAGTAAATGGTTTGAGCCCGGAGGTAACATGTAATAGTGTAGTTTGATCGTCCGAGTGAGTGTAGTCCTGAGAAGGACTGTTGTCGGTAGTGGTGACTGACGTTTCGACAACATGAGCGGATGTCATCATCAGTGTCAAGTGAAAGGTTGTTGTCAGTCGAATGTACTTAGTCCGGTTTGTGTACACTGATTGGTCAGTTTTGCCGTGATGTTATTGGCTGTAAGACTCAAGTGGCGTAGGTCAGTCGTGATTGGTCGGTTTGGATCCGTTAGTGAAGTTAGGTCGTTCTGTTGGGTTCGTTTGTAATGTTAATGTCGTGGATGAGTCGTTTGTATGGTGCCGACATAAAGTTAGTAAACCAGCTTTCCAGGTTCAGTCGTTGAAAGTAGTTGGTGCTGTACCTAAGTATAAACCCAGTATACCTTGATGTCGTCGGGTATTGGGTCATCCCAGCCTACTTCGTGGCGACGCAACTCTTGGAGAATTAAAACATCAATAAAAACAGACCATTCGGCAATAACCCTTTCAATTAGTGGCTTAGATGAAACTGAGAGAGGATCGAATTTCTGGAAATTCAATTCGAACTTAGTAAATGACTCAGACTACCGTGAAATTTTAACCACTGAATGTGAATTGGTTAGAGGAATTTAAAGAAGTTCAGGATAAGCATGTTTTATGGGATTTAATTAAATACAAAATAAGACAGCGAAAAATCAAATACAGTAAAGGTAAAGTCCGTGAAAGAAGAGCAAAACTACAAAAGGTGGAAGCATGAACAACGCGCTTGAATAATTCCTACGGAAAGCCTTCGGGTCACGCAACAGATATTAGTTTTGAGGAGTTCTGCATGGAAATGCTCGATGGCGGTAAGTGACGACGACAACACTATTTTAATTTTATTTTCGGTAGTAGCACAGCTTTTAGTTTGATAGAATTATTGATATTTGCTCTAAAGCGAGAGCGCAGAATTTCTCGTCTGTAGAAGCCGAAGTTGTAGCACACTTGAACTTGTAACAATGTCAACCAACACGCAGCGTGTGACTTTAAAATCTCCTAAAATGTGCGATAATGATTATAAACAATCAAATTATAGACTAATGAATGCTTTGTGCCGTACAAAAGCCATATTTGCTGATTATAGCAAATCTCCGAAGTAATAAACGACAGAAGAAAGAAACGCTACGATTTTCCAATCGATTTTTCGTCTACATACATCTCTCTAAACGTGAAATTTTCCATTCCTACGAAAAATCTCGAAAGTTTTTCACATTTTTTAGCTTTCTTGCTCAATCATCTTGTATGGAGAGCTAAAAAATGTAGGATTATTCGGTCAAGTGACCGGCCAGAGCCAGAATTGCGTGACAGGTGTAGCTGAGAGAAACTTGTCACAGTCGCAGATTTTAAAAGGCATCCAAGACAAAAGTACCGTAGTGCCCAAAGATTTTTTTTATGGTTTCCACAGATGAAATAATGGATTATAAAGGGGAATTAAGATTAGTGTTTGTAGCACGACTGCCCGGTGCTCTCGTGGACACGCTCTTAAGTGAACTTGACCGATCAGCGTACAAGAAGAACCATAGCACCGAATCGGCCTTGATAAAGGTTCAGGGTGACATTCCACGGGCCATTGACAATAACTGTTGAGTGATACTGCTGCTACTTGACCTTTCAGCGCATTTGATACTCTTGATCATCGTATCCTCCTAGTCTGTTACAACAGTTTGCTAGCGCTGGGAATGCTTTGGAGTGGTTCCGCTCATACTTGTTTACTCGGTACTAAGATGTGAAAGTGAATAGTAACGAGTTTACTTGTCGCGAGCTCTGCTGTTGTGTACCCCAGGGTAGTGTCCGTGGACCCATTCTATTCCTGCTTTACACGTCTCCACTGGGTGTTGTCACGAGATACCGTCATTTCAAGTTCCACCTGTACGCTGACGATACTCAGATGTATCTTACCTTTGAATCGTCTACCTCTGTCAGATTATTTGATCATTTAAGTTGGTTGCCCTTTACGTGGAGGCTCAAATTTCCAAATGTCTAGCTGCATTTGAGAGACTACGGGGAGAATCGCCTGCGTGTATCACTCGCCTTTTAACACGTAATAGTGATCTTCACTCTCGTAATACTAGGTATGCAAACCATATCTTAGTTTGCTCAAAGTTGAAAGGTAAATTAGATGGCGGTAAGACTTTCAGTGTTACCACATGTCAACTATGGAACAGTTTCCCAATGACCTTACTACAAAAGACATCAATAAAAAGTTTTAAAAAGGACTTTAAAAAGGCAGTTTTTTCTTGGAAACCAACAGAGTTTGAATCATTTTATAGTTCAATTAGGTTCCTTTTTATAGTTTCCCAACTCCTAAGATCCACTTGATTTTAGATTTTATCATAGGATTTTCAATTTTTTCAACTGTTCATCTGTTTCTATGTTCTTCTATGTTTCTAATGTATTAAATTTAATTCTTACTGATATCTATATTTGTTAGTTTTTTTCTCATTTTGACTGTTTGGCTATTATTTAGTTTATCTCACTCGTTTTTTAAATACTTCTACGTAAGATATTTTTTAAAAAATCATTTTAGGCTCTATTGGATAGCGATAGAAATAGCGCTATACGAATAAAGTATTATTATTATTATTATTAATTATCAATTCCACTCAAGGTTTTTTTCACGTTTTACAAATGGACCGTCCTTGCGCAACCAAAATTTTTCTGCTTGTAGCTTACACGCTTTCAAGTTGGTCACTGTCACCTGGACATGATCTGGCGATGTCTTAGGTACAGTTAAAGTTAAATTTTTCAAGAATCAATTCATAACACTATAGAAATATCGCGAGATAAGAGAACAAAAATATGTTTACAGACAAATCAAACTAAATGCATCCCATACATATGAAAGCACTCGAATCATGTGCACTAAAGGTAGTGTCGGGTTGCTATTGCATTCGACTCAGCGGTCGACATGTCGATCGATTATCGGTGGATAGTCGGTAGACATATATCGGTGGAGAGTCGTTCGATATCTCGATCGAAGAATGCCGATACTCCATTGATATGTCACCGACACTTCACTGCCATTTCACCGCTATTTAACAGAGTATGAGTTGGTTATCGGTCGATAGTCGGTCGAAGGTCTGTCGATGCATGTCGAGATTGTACTCATATTTCATTACCAGCCAGGCTACTTTGCAATAAAACAGAATAACAGCATTGGAAAAGTTAATAAAAGTTTTAAAATGTTATAAAGTGGTGTGACCGGTTTCGTTTTTCTTTCCTTTACAAAAAAGAAAACAACAATGCTTAAAAACTACTATAAAAAGGTAAACACTATCTAGAAAACTTAAATTGCTGAAGTTAAGGGAAAAAAACATTTCTTCAATGCTAAGACTACTTACAGTACTAATATTTTTTGTTTTGTTACAATAGTATTTTCCTTGGGAAGCAGACGCTACTAACAGCTTTGAAATTACTTTTAATACTATGTTACTACGTGACTTACCTGTTTCACTCATCTTTATCATTTTTGTTTGTTTGTTTGTTTTGTTTTAGACTTAAAGACTGTGATATTTCCTGCTAGAGTTAACTAACGATAACTCTAACAAATTAGTAGGAAGACGAGAGTTCTAGCACAGCCCTCAATCAATTTGAGACAATTTTTCACTGCATTTTGATTTCACTTTGATCACACTTTGATCCCGAAATTTCACACTCTCCCTCGCAAAAGCCTATGTCCATGAGCAAGAGTGGAAATCGTGTCAACGACAACATGTCTCTTGCCATCGTTCGTAGAGAGAGCAATCTTGTCGAGAGTTTTAGAGAAGAGCGCATGCTTGGTCGAGTCAATGCAGTTCATCTTCCTGAGCTGATATTCGGTCAATCTCTTCAGCGGAACCTTCCGAGGAAAGTTCGACCACATCTTCCTCCTCTGTCCGACATTCATTAACAAAACGACATACGATGGCTTCGGAGAACGTGACAAAGACTTCTTCGTATTGACTCCACTCTAAGATCAGATGGATGATTTGCTCAAGATCACCAGTCATGTGCGCAAGGGAAAAAATGCACTGATCATTCTAGATGACTGCGCGGCTTCGAGAGATGTGAAGACGAAGACAAATGAACTCGTGAATTTGGCATTCAGCGTAAGATAAGAAGGTATCAGCCTGTGTGTTCTCACATAGCAGATGTCGAGTATCGCGAAGGCATTCGGAGAGAACATGGTTTCATTGGTTCTCTTTTACACAACGACAGCCAAAGACATATTAGTTTCGATGATTACGCAAGTGAGATGACGAATGATTAAAAGAAAGAACTGATGGCAAAGCTCAAGGGTGAGAAGCATTAACGTCTCGTCTTCTGACTTCGTCATCCC